CATAGGCATTTAAGAATATAGATAGGAATCCTGCTGTGGCTCTGTAGGTTAAGTGCTGGACCAAAAGGTCAGTTTGAACCACAGGTTGGTGATTATAACTCACCAGTCACTCCCTGGAAACCCTATATGGGGTCACTATGAGTTGTAACCAACTCGACAACACTTAACAACAACATCATAACCCTATATAGGATCTCCATATAGATCTGTCATGAAGTACAACACTGTCTGTAATAAGATAATAGCCATACACCTACAAGGAAGACCAGTTAATACAACTGTATTCAAATTTATGCACCAACCACTAAAGCCAGTGATGATGAAATTGAAGAATTCTACCAACTTCTTCAGTATGAAATTGATCAAACATGCAATCATCAAGATGTATTGTTATTACTAGTGATTGGAATGCCATTATTGGAAACAAAGAAGAAGGATCAATAGTTGGAAAATATGGCCTTGGTATTAGAAATGATTCTGAAGATCTCATAATAGAATTTTGCAAGACCAATGATTTTTAATTGCAAATACCTTTTTTTAAACAACATAAAAGATGATTAAAAACATGGACCTCGCCAGATGGAATACACAAAACCCAAATTTACTATATCCGTGTAAAGAGATGGTGGAAAAGCTCCATATCATCAGTCAAAACAAGGCCAGGGGCAGACTGTGAAGCAGACCATTAATTTCTCATATGTAAATTCAGGCTGAAACTGAAAAAAGTTAAAACAAGTCTACGAAAGCCAAAATATGACCCTGAATATATCTTACCTGAATTTAGATGCATAAGACACTAAAGACCAAAGAACAGAAGAATTGTGGGATGACATCAAGAACAACATGCAGGAAGAAAGCAAAAAGTCATTAAGAAGACAAGAAAGAAGGAAAAGTTCAAAATGGATGTCAGTAGAGACACTGAAACTTGCTTTCCAGCATAGAGATGCTAAAGCAAATGGAAGAAGTGAGGAGGTAAAGGAGCTGAATAGAAAATTTCAAAGGTCAGCTCGAGAAGATAAAGACAATATTATAAAGAAATGTGCAAAGGCCTGGAGTTAGAATATCCAAAGGGAAGAACACGCTCAGCATATCTCAAGCAGGGGAAACTGAAGAAGAAATTCAAGCTTTGACTTGAAATACTGAAGGATTCTCTGGGCAGGTTACTGAATGATGCAGGAAGCATAAAAAGAAAATGGTAGCACAGAGTCACTGTACCAATAAGACATGGTAGATGTTCAACCGTTTCAAGAGGTAGAATGTGATCAAAAGCCAGTGAAACTGAAGGAGGAAGTCCAAGGTGCATTGAAGCATTGATAAAGAATAAGGCACCAGGAATTGATGAAATACAAATGGAAATCTTTCTGTGGAAAGAATGGAAAACTGATGTGGCACTGGAGGTACTCACTCATCTATGCCAAGAAAATTGGAAAACAACTAGCTGGCCAACTGACTGGAATAGATCCATATTTGTGCCCATTCCAAAGAGAGGTGACTTAATGGAAGATGGAAATCATTGGACAATATTATGGATATCCCATGCCAGTAAAGTTTTACTAAAGGTAATACAGAAACAGCTTCAAGCATACATTGACAGAAGACTTCCAGAGGTTCAAGCCAGATTCAAAAGAGGACATGGAACTAGGGATAGCATTGCTGATGTCGGATGGATCTTGGCTGAAAGCAGAGAATACCAGAAAGATGTTAACCTGTGCTTTATTGTCTATGCAAATGCTTTCAATTGTGTGGATCATGACAAGTTATAGACAATATTGCAAAGTATGAGTATTCCAGAACACTTGTGCTCATGAGGAACCTGTACATAGACCACGAGGCGGGTGTTTGAACAGAATAAGGGAAAAATGAATGGTTTAAAATTGGGAAAGGTGTGCGTCAGGCTTGTATTCTTTTACTATATTTATTCAATTTGTATGCTGATCAAATAATCTGAGGAGTTGGAATATACGAAGAAAAATGTGGTATGAGGATTGGAGGAAGACTCATTAACAATCTGCAATATGCAGGTGATACAAGCTTACTTGCTGAGAATGAAGAGAATTTAAGATATTTACTGATGAAGATCAAAGACCACAGTCTTTGGTATGGGTTGCATCTCAATGTAAAGAAAACAAAAATGCTCACCACTGGACAAATAAACAACATCCTTATCCATGGAGAAAAGACTGAACTTTACAAAAACTTCATTTTGCTCAGATCCACCATCAACACTCATGGAAGCAGCAGTCAAGGAATGACATTAGGCAAATCTGCTGCACAAGACCTTTTTTTTAAAAAAAGATTTTATTGTGAATTATGTGTTAGTTTAATGGGTGAACATTATCTTTACATTCATCCTATCATATTTTATTTCATTGCAATGATCACAATCCCCTGCATGCATCTTCAAACAAGCACAAGACCTTTTTAAAGTGCTGAAGAACAAAGATGCCAGTTTGAGGACTAAGTTGTGTCTGACCCAAGCCATGCTATTTTTAATAACCTCATATTCATGCAAATGTTGGACAGTGGATAAGGAAGACCATAGAAGGATTGATGCATTTGAGTTATGGTGCTGGAGGAGAATATTAAAAATACCATGGACTACCAAAAGAACAAACAATTCTATGTTGGAAGAAGTGCAGCCAGAGTGCTCCTTGGAAGTCAGGATGGCCAGACTTCGTCTCTCATACTTTGGACATATTATGAAAAGGAACCAATCACTGGAGAAAGATATCATGTTTAGTAAGGTGGAGGGTCAGAGAAAAAGCGAAAGACTCCCCCCACCCCATGAGATGAATTGACACAGTGGCAGCAGCATTGCGCTCAGGAAAAGCAATGATTGTGAGGCTGGCCCAGGACCAGGTAGTGTTTAGTTCTGTTGTGCTTAGGATCGTTATGAGATGGTACCAACTCGATGGCACCTAACAACCACAACAACATGAGTTAGATCCAACTTGACAGCACTTAACAACAACTTAAATAAAATTTAGCCTCTTCTTTGATTATGAGTACAGGTCATACACCATAGTGGTATAAGCACTTCCTTATGCTTTGTAGTAAAAAAAACTCCAGGTATTTCCTACTCCATTCCAGCATTTTGATCATTATTGTTGTTGTCGTTAGTTGCCATCGAGTTGGTACCGACCCATAGCGACCTTATGCACAGCAGAACAAAACACTGCCTGATCCTGGGCCAATCTCGCTACTGTTGCCATGCTTGAGTCCATCGATGCTGCCACTTGGCCAATCCATCTCGTTGGGGCTCTTCCTCTTTCTCTCTAACCCTCCACCTTCCAAACATGATATCCTTCTCCAGTGACTGGTCCCTCCTGACAATATGTCCGAAGTATGAGAGATGAAGTTTGGCCATCTTGGCCTCCAAGGAGCACTCTGGCTGCACTTCTTCCAAAATGGATCTATTGGTTCTTTTGGCAGCCCATGGCACCTTCAAAACTCTCCTCCAACACTGCGTAACTCAAAAGCATCAATTCTTCTACTATCTTCTTTATTTACTGTCCAGCTTTCGCATGCATATGAGGTGATTGAAAATACTATGGTTTGATCATTATTACTACTCTGAAATTATGTTAATAAAAAGGACAAATATCACTTCATCAGAAATTTGTTTTTAAAAACATTTGTATAACTAGTTTTCAATGTAATGGCTTCCTTTGCATTTCTATATATTTTATCTAATGTATTTAAAATCTTATATTGAGAAACAGTCATAGTTTTCACCAGTCTACCAAAAGGTATCATGGTGTAAATAAAAGGTTGGGAACTGCTAAGGGTCACAGTAGTCAAAAGTCTTGTCCAAGTTCGTGAAGTCAACATGTGATTCCAGGATTGGTTAACTGACTCCAAAAGCTGAAGAGAACTCAGGACTAAAGGGGAGGGGATAGTGATATGTGGGATTAAGAAGGGTTCATGAAGAAACTTTGTAGGGGGATGGAAATGTTCAGCTCTGATTATTGGGGCATATACATTATCAAAAATCAAATAATATATAAGTTCTATGTCATTTCCTCTATGCAAGGAATGCCTCAAAAATAATCATTACAAAAACTGTTATTTCCATTTTACTGATGGATAAATGAAGATAGAAATGAAATAAAGTGATATCCCTATTGTCCAAGTCCTCTTGGCATGCTGGTAAAAAAGGAAAGGAAGAAGGTGCACTTGACTAGCCCCATGGTTTCTGTGTGGGGAACTCTTTGCTTGAACCCTTCCAAATGGCAAGTTCACCTCACTCCAATGAAACTCAAGTCCACAATATAATGAGTATATAAATTGTGCTGAGTGACATGATGGGAAACTACTCAGCACTGAAAATAAACCAACTACATGCTATAACATAGTCAGATCTCACAAACATTTCTAAATAAAAGAATCTAGATATAAAAGAAAATAAACCAGGTGATTCTATTTATATTATTACCCCCAGTGGACTCATGTATGTCAGAGTAGAACTTTACTGCATAAGGTTTTCAAGAGCATATTTTTTAGAAGCAGATCATAAGGACTTTCTTCTGAGGTACCGCTGGGTGGACTTCAACCATTAATCTTTTGGTCACCAGCAGAGATCATTAACCATTTGCACCACCCAAGGACTCATGTTAAGTATAAAAAAGGCAAAAATAATGCTTGGAGTTCATAAGTAAGATAGTGGTTATACTTGGGGAGATGAGGGGGCACAGGACAGGCTTCTAGGATAGGTGTCATGCTCTGTAGACCAATCTGGGTGCTGCTTGCATGCAGATTTGTGTATCTACAGAGAAAATTGTATAAGGCACTGAAGCAGTTAGGACTCACACCAAAAAGCAGGGGTTCTGAGTGAGTCAACTGTATTCTCCTTCAACAGCCCTCATGCAGTTGTGCAACACCACAGCTCTGCCTAGGAGTAGGCGGTTCCTGCTTTAAATCCAGGATTCTACTGTAAATGCGATGGTGTTGTCTCTGGGACATTTCCCACATGTAATAGAAGACTTGCTGCCCTCACTTACTCAGGGTCCTGCATGGAGCCACCCACACAGTGAAATCTTTCAGGCACGGTTTTCCAGTCTTTAGCCATTTTCACCATTGAGCCTGCATCAAGGACACCATAGCCAAAGAGGTGATTAAACTCCAGGCCGACCCCATTCCGCCGCCACTGATGGACTTCGTCGTGAAGCTGGTTCCGCTTGGAGGTGAGCACAGTCAGATGCTGCATGTCTCGCCAAGTCAAAGCCAGGCTGGATACAGGAGGCAGAGGATAAGAGAGCCAGAGAACCAGGGCACAGGGGAGAGAAAGGCAGAGAAACACATGACTAAGATAAGTACCACCCAGCCATTGGCCCCTTGTAAGACTCTGAAATATCTATGGGCCCCCAAGCCAAAGGAGGGTCCCATAAACTATTTATAACCATTACGTATGTCAATTGAAAACATGTTTCCTTTCTTATTTAAATATATTTATTTCAAGGGAGTTGTACTCACTGGAATGATCAAAATGAAAAAGATTGAGAATACCAAGTGTCGGCAAAGATGTTGGAGTAACTGGAATTCACCAACATTGCTGGTAGGAGTATAAATTATTGCAATTATTGTGGCTAATTGAAGTCCTGGTATGGTGCTGTGGGTTAATGTGCTGGGCTGCAAGGTTGGTTTGAACCACAAGGTCGGCAGTTCAAGATCAATAGGTGCTCCTTGAAAACCCTTTATAGGGTCGCTATGAGTCGGAACTGACTCGATGTCACTTAACAACAACATTGTGGATAATTGATTGACTATATCTTCTAAGGTTGTTCATATGCCTAAGCCATGGACCCAAAATTCTATTTCCAAGTAAGTACCCCAAAAATATGTGTGTGAATATATGTACGGAGTCCTGGTGTGGCACTGTGGGATAAAGCACTGTACCTCAAGGTCAGTTTGAATTGAAAAGTTGGTGGTTCAAACTCACCAGCTGCTCTTTGGAAACCCTATACAGAGTTGCCCTGAGTCAGAACTGACTTGATGGCACTTAACAACAACAACATATATATATATACCCTAAAGACATGTACTAGAGTGTTTATAGCCCTAAACCACAAAACCTCCAAATGCCCATCTACAATAGAATGAATAAGCCCATTGAGATGTTAGTATAGGCTGGAATACTATACAGCAATGAGAATGAATAGACAACAGCTAATTCAAATCATATGGATGGATGAATCTCATAAACATGTGGACTTAAAGAAGTCAGGTGCAAAATAGAGCATACTATATGATTCCATTTAAAGTATAAGAAAAGTGAAATGGAGCTGTACTGTGAGAAGTCATGTGGGTGACTATCCTTATAGGGTGATGACTAGAAGGGGACCCAAAGTACCTTCTGGGTACAGGATAAATGAGTATATTCCATTTGTGAAATGAGTAAGAGTTGGATGCTGAACTCTTGTGATTCATGCACTTACTTATATACATATATATCGTGTATATGACATGTTGTTGTTGTTAAGTGCTGTTGAGTTGGTTCAACTCATAGCAACCCAGTATAGGGTTTCCAAGGAGCAGCTGGTGAATTTGAACTGCTGACTTTGCAGTTCAAACCAACCTTTCGATCTAGTGCATTATTGCATGGCACCACACCAGGACTCCATATAAGATATATATGTTGTTGTTGTTTTGTTGTTAAGTGTCATTGAGTCGGTTCCGACTCAGAGTAACCCTGTATAAGGTTTCCAAGGAGTGGCTGGTGAATTTTAACTACCAATCTTTCAGTTCAAACCATTTTTTTAGTCCAGTGCATTATCCCACAGCACCACACGAGGCAAACCTATACAGGGTTGCTATGAGTCAGAACCGACTCGATGGCAGTTAACAACAGCCAATTCCTAAATCTTTGTGGGAACAGAGATCTCTCTCCTGCAGAGCATCTGGGGACTCAAACTGTTGATCTTGTGGTACACAGTCCAGTGCTTATCCTATGGAGAAAATGGTACAGGTATGTTAAAGACATGGAACTGACCACACTGAAAAAGAATCGGAAGGGGATAATTTCCTAATTGTGTGAACCCAAGTTTTTAAATGACATGTTTATTTCTCAACTGAAATCATCTCAGGAATCCCATCATGCCATTTGGGTAACTCTGACCTGATAGACACTTGTGGCATGCTTTAGAGGTCTTGGTTTTTAAATATTCCTCTGAAATGTAGCTATGATATCTGCAAATGCCATTCTGTCTGGAATGCTTTTTTCTTCCTTTTCAACCTGGAACACTCAAGTGTTACCTGCTTTCAGACATTCTGAGGTACACTCATTTTTAGAAGTTTTTATTGTGAACTGAGTGATAGTTTATATGGGAGAACATTGGTTTTACAGTAATTGTTTCATTGCAATGATTACAATCTCCTCCATGCATCATCATTCAACAGTGTTTGCTTCTATTCCCTCTGTCTTGTGGGGGGGAATGTACACAAAAACACTCAGGAATATATAATGATTTAAACAACCAAAGGGTACCATTCTACAAGCCTGCCTCCTGGCTGCCAGCATACCGCCTTTCTCTTTCTGCAAGTCTAGAGTCCTCAGCTGCTCCCTCTCTCCATGTCCTCATCTCTGCCTCCATTTCTGGTGTCGCTGCTTCTCTGGATAGGGTCCCACATTCTGCTTGTGCTCTTCTGAGGTACATTCTTGATGTCTTGATTATAACACGCATCCTGCTACATTGCTACAGCTTTGATACATGTCCCTATCTGCTATGAGGTTACCCTGCCAGTTCTTCTAAGGCAGAGACACTATCTTTAGCACATTTGCACCCTTCGTACCTAGGACTGATCTTGGTATACTTTGTCCAGTGAATAAATGGGTCTGCTTGCAATATTATCTTGACAAATCAGTGTTTCATATTACTTAGTATAATTGTTGAAAAAACTCTGCATCATGACCTATTTGTGGGCCATATAATCAATTTATTGCAGAGGTTATCTAACGTGGCTACACAATTAAAATTTTCTGACAGTGGTTAGAGGGCATGTAAAATCCCATTGCTTAGGCCACACAGCAGACGAATTACTTCAACTGAACGTGGAGCTCACTCTTCCAAACCAAATCTATCACCACTGAGTCAATTCTTACTCATAGTAACTTATAGGACAGAATAGAACAAATGAAGGAATGAAGCAACAGATGAATAACTCCCAGGTGAGTTATCAGTAAAGACTATGACCTTCATGCAGTTAGTGGGAACTCGTTGGCTAGGTATGATCAATTGTAGCACCCTGTGATGTTCCTGTGATGTTCAAGAGTAAATATTTAATTACTAGTAGACTGGGTCAAGGTTATTCAGGATGGACTGTCTGGCTCTTGGTTCAAAACGAACAATCACAGAGATCCAAGTGAAACCCAGGACTTCTAGACGAAAAGTGAAGATGATTACATTTTCATTCAGAGGAACCAGGATTCCAAAGAGCATGATTACTCATGACATTGTGGAGAAAACCTTGGCCTGAAATGTCAGTGAACTTGAGCAGGGAGACTGTGAGGTGCTTGGAAAAGCCAAAGCAAAGTGACTGCACTTTAGTGACTGGCAGAGAATCTCTCATCAGGGAGATCAGTGAGAGTTCTTTCTAGTTAAGCAGTTAAAGCTGGACCCAGTGACTGAAATAGATGCTTACAATGGTCTGCCTCCAAATAACGGGCAGCATTGTATCTGTATCTGTCACAGAGCCCGGCATTTGCTGAAACATACATTTGGTTTGTCAACTTCTCTCTAAGAATAATAAAGTACAAAACATTGACCTTTTTATCTGTTGAGTTATCTGTTTGTAAGAAAATTTCCTCATTATTATCTTGCAGAGTTATGCTATTTATGGCATTGAATTCTCCTGGAACCAATGAATGTTTTACTCCTAATTATCAAGACACCAAGTGGAATTTAAGAGATTGCATACATGTTTAGAAAATTGAAAGCTGAAATGTTCTGAAGAGGTTGTGATTTTAAGATTAGAGGAGGAATGTCTACTGACGTCTGGTACATTCTAGAAGCCAACAGTAGAATTTAATCCCTCCACTTATTGGATATGATTCTTATATGAAACAAAGTGAAATGTGTAAAACTGTTTGAGTCTCTTGGCCCTTAAGAAGAGATGTTTGCAGTAGTAAAGAGCTATCTGGTTTCTTTCAGCTTTGCAAGTCAGTGTATTCTCTAAACACTGACAGAATTAAAAAATAATTTCAAAGACCTGGATTATTTCCAGCCTGAGAAAAATAATACATTTGTAAGTCAAGTGGTGTTTTCTCCAGTCAGTGTCTGCAACATCTACGACCTGTGAAAGAAAATTCAGTTTCCATGATGCCATCATGTGGTTGTAGGGTGGAAAACCTCATCTTGAATGAATTGAACTAATTTTTGGCAACACATTTGAGGAAGAGCCAATTCATTCTCTACAGCCCGTTGCCATGGACAAAATGTGTGGTGGAATCCTCTGCCACTATGGCACCCAAAGGAGCAGATGACTTGTTGGGGAGGGTCTCCTGTGACCCCTAATTAGGTTGAGGAAAGAACCCTGAGTTGGAATCCTGGCACCCCAGGGTTGAAATCCTAGCTATATGCCATTTCCAACTATGTGAATTTGGACAAGGTACGTTTCCAATCTGAGCCCCAATGTGAAATGATGCTAAAGACTCATAAGCTTGTTATAGGATGAAGGAGCCCTGGTGATACAGTGGGTTAAGTGTTGGATTTCTAACTACAAGCAAGGTTGGTGGTTCAGACCTACCAACTGATCCATGAGAGAAAGATGATGTTGTCTGCTCCCATAAAGACTTACGGTCTCAGAAATCCTAAGGAGCAGTAGCACTGTGCCCTATGATGTCACTAAAAGTTTAAATCAACTCAGTGTTGTGGGTTTAGTGGGTAAATGTAGAAAATGTGTATAAAGATATATTATGCCTGGAATGTAGTGGGCACTCAATAAACAAGTTTATAATAATTTATAATATCTACCCCATATCTTTGGCATGAAATAAGTTACAAGAGACATCCTTTCTGAAGCAAAGCACTGGTTGCAAATTTAAAAGTATGTAAAGGGAACACTTTTCTGTTTTTAAAAAGTCAATTCTCAAGCCAACACATATCCCATAAAAAAACTGCAATTTCCCCAAAGTATGATATTTTGGAAGCAGAGCTATAGTATTCAAGGAGATCATAGGAACCCTGTTGATCATCTAGTTTTTAAAATTTTATTGATAAGAGAGATCCAGAGAAGGTGAGTTCACTCAGACGTTTTAAGACACTAGCAGTTGCCTCTTGTATTTTCTTGTTAAGGAAACCTCAATTTTATTTGATGATCAGCTACAAAACCATATTTCCTTGCCTTCTTTGTAGCAAGAGTAGTCATGTAACAGTAAAGGAGCAAGCAGAAATCACTGGGTAGGGTTTCTTGGAAAGGTGGTAGACTTCTTATTGGACTTTTGTTTTCCTATCTTTCCTGCCTGAGATATAGACATGATGGCTAGAGCTCCAGCAGCATCTAGAGGGCATGAAGATGGCAGAGCAAAGAGCTAGAAAGAGCTGGTCTCCTTGATTCACAGAGGCACCCCTCACACCAGCCTTGGATTACTTACCTCCCATCTTTCACTGGAGAAAGAAATAAATCCCTGTCCCCACTCATCTATTATTATTTGGATTTCCTGCTTCACACAGGAAATACTGACACTTGGGTGACCTAACACTGACACTTGGGTAGAGCCCAGGTACCCATGCTCAGCATGACAACACTCAATTCATAGGTTGACAGAGTCATCACATTATTGGTAATCGAGAGTCCTGGGGTGGCACTGTAGGATCAGCACTGGGCTGTTAACCTCAAGGTCGACTCTGAGGTCACATAAAGGGTTGCTATGAGTTGGAATTGACTTGAAGGTACTTAATAGGAACAACAAACACTTCCCTCTAAGTTTATATCTACTCTTTAGAGTTGTTCTTGTCAATTTGTTTCTGTTTTTTGAAGGTTCCTAATGTGTGGTGCTGGTGTGGCACTGTGGATTAATGCACCAGACTGCAAAGCCATTTGAACTGCAAGGTTGGCGGTTCAAGTTCACCAGCGTCTCCTTGGATACCCTATACAGGGTCGCTATGGGTCAGAACGGCACTTAACAGCAACAACAAATGTGTGGTGCTGTAGTATAAACACTGGGCTGCTAACTGCAAAGTCAGCAGCTCAAACCTACCAGTTGCTGTTTGAAAACCCTATACAGGATTGCTATGAGTTGGAACCCACTCAACAGTACAGAAGACAGTGACTACACCCACTCCAGTTCACAGACCAGTCAGAGCTGGTTGCTAACATATTCTCTGAGAGAAGGGGTTATAAAGGCACATTCCTGGGCCAGCTCAGACTCCAGGGTCCACTCAGGTGTCTGATGGTTTCATCTTTAGAAAACACATGTTTATGGGAGTAACATTTGGCAAGAGAACCAAGTGAAATGCTTCGGCCTGTGTCTATCTCTTGTGCTCTAATTTTTCCTCCTCACTTTTGTTAGAAGAATCCATTTGACTTGCTCCAAATAGAGGGGTTACTTGAAATTTAAGGACTTATCTGTAAAAGGAGGATAGTTATAATTTATCTGTTTGAAGGCTGAGTGTTGGACTAGATAATCTTTTGGGGTTCCTTCCTATTCTTAGCTAGTTTGCAAATCAGAAAAAAAACACTGCATATGGAGAGAGATAAGCAGGACTCACTGAAGATTGATGCTGGATGCTCAGGTTGCTTAGCAACAGTTGACAGGGATGGGGAACTCAACTTCCCTTCCCCAGGACACTAAATTCAACTTCTCACAAGTTGCTGTGTGCTGATTATCTTAGACAGCTCACCACACAGCTGGCTCTTACAAACACATCATTTGGTACCTGAATCTGAATGTTCACTCCTGGAATCCCAGGCAGCCTCTGGCTTGCATGAAGAGAAGATAGAGCAATCGGTGGGCAGGTGCCACCTCCAGTGAGGCTCAAATCCAAGTTGGGTTCAGCAGTCCCTCTCTGTGGGAGGTGGAGAACATGGGGAGTGCTTTCTCCTCTTCTCTGTGGTTTGGACGTTTTTCCAGTAAAACCTGTTTCTTGGAGTACATGGTGTGACTTCGCCCACCTTGTCTCAGTGTTCTTAAGGGAATTCTTACAAATGAACAGATCTTGAGTGGGAGCACCATGTGCTCCACATGTTCTGAAATACCTTTTTCTAATACTAAGCTTGATGATATTGTTTTTCTTCATTTAGCTCATTGTGATTATTATTGGAATAAAACCGTTAAGGAGGCTATAAAGGATAAAGGGCTGGTTCCATGGAGAATGAGATCTCTTTGTGCTCTTATTTGGCATCTGAGTAGCCGATATGTGCTGCTGTGTGTTGAGTTTTTGCGCTGTCTTTGTGGTATGGTTTTGCATTTGGGCCCATAATATACAAGGAGTGGTGTGTGTGTATGTATGCATATGTTTGTGTATGTCTGTGAATGTGTATTTAAGGTCAATGACTCATTTGGAGATGCCCACCCGAGCTCATTGGACCTGCCTATTTGTTAGCTTTCACTCCCACTTTTGCCTCCATGAATCCCTAATATATGAATGGGGAGATACATGTTAGTCCACCCTGGGCCCACACCTATAAACATACTTAGCTTCTAAAGCCAGTGCAAACACGCCAGCTGCCTCGGGAGCAGCTGCGGATGTTCCAGAATGCCTCAGAGTGCAGTTGCCATACAAATCTGTGGTTGCCTGAAAGGGAAGATGGGGATAAATAAATCATGCGATTTGAGCCAAAACAATATGGAGAAGAGAATTAGCTGCTTGCTTTATTTAAACTATGCTTCTTTCTGAAGAAGATTAAGATGAAACTAAGGATAAGCTTTGTATTCATATACCTATATATTTTGACAGAAATTTTTATCTCTGAGCTTCTCAGTAGTTCCTGGAAAGAGGGACCCATGTTGGCTTATAGTTACAGAGTCTAAAGATACAATTTTTCAGAGAAGCAAAGATGTGGCTATTCTAGTGACAAGAAAGGCATTTATTTACTGGCTCCTAGAAGGAAACACTGTGTGGAGAAGAATAACAAATTAATCCACTATCCTACTCAAGGGAGAAGTCAGTTTTGTTACATTGTAATGGACTCTTGGAAGCCCTGAGGGTTATTATGTCAACATTTCATTTCCCTTCATGAGAGGAATAGTGGTACACCCAACAAAGACTAAATATGTCCAGTTAAAGTCAACCTGGAAGGATAGTCCATTCAAAAGAAAGTATTTCCCTATATGTCAAATTCATCGACATTCTGAGATATGTTGAACCTCTACAACTCTTATTTTATTGTTGTTGTTAGGTGCCGTCGAGTCGGTACCGATTCATAGTGACCTTATGCAAAGCAGAACAAAACACTGCCCGATCCTGGGCCAACCTCACTACTGTTGCCACGCTTGAGTCCATCGATGCTGCCACTTGGCCAATCCATCTCGTTGGGG